TACCTTGTATGCGTCGAGTGGACCTCCTTCTATTTCGACAGCATCAACCATGTTGATATCTACAAGCTCTGCAAAATTTGTCTCATCAATCTGAAGAGGATCTTTGTCGACCTTCATTAGGTTCTTGAGCTTCTCTCTGAACTTTAACCTTCCTTCCTTGATAGCACTCTGTACCAAGTCCCTGAAAAGATAACATTATGAGGTTTTATGGCCTAAGAAATTATGATATTTACAAAAGCCCCTTTTCTTCCGTTGTTCTAACGGAGGAATTTTAGCACCAGGGGGCACTATCATCTGGCCATCTTTTACTAACAAATCAAAGATTTCATCACACTTGGTGATGTCGAAAGTATAGGTTTTCTTTGGGAATTTGTCATTCCTTTCTGGTTCGACGGGATTTTTCCCGTTCGTAGGCGTTAACACTTTGCAAGGATATGGTGATCCTTGCTTTAACTCTGCAAGATCTATCTCGTGTTCTTCAACCTCTGAAAAATCATCTTCGACATCTCTTTCGTCTGAGTAGGCTTCGATATAAGCCACTATTTCTTTCCTATGGCTTTTGTTAGCCCTTGCTTTTTCGATTTTCAAACTCTCCACCTGTCGAACCCTGTCAACCAGTTGTGCCATATCTCTCAGATAATGGGGATGTAACTTCTTCCTGATAGAGAAGTCCAATCCTCTTACTGTCATTTCGACCAACTCGTGTTCAGGCAATTGTGTGAAACATCTTTCCTTCAATAGACATAACCTGTTAAGATAATCGTCTATAGGCTCACTGAATTTGCGCTTAACATTTTCCAGTTCGCTCAGGATGATTTTGGTTTGACCTACATAAAATTGTTCATGAAATAATCTCTCTAAGCGAACCCAATCATGGATGGAATTCGCTGCAAGAGTAGTAAACCAAGTAAAATCATTTTTGGTTAGTGAACTAGGGAAATATTTAATCCTTAGATTCTCATTGTTTGCTATATCCCCTGCTTCTGTAAGATATCTAGCAACATGTTCTATGGTTGACTCACTGGTGTCACCAAAAAACTTTGTAAATTTTGGCACTTTCCATCCCCTAGGCAAATCAGTTTGCTGAATGTATTCAGATAAAGGGGATGTATAATTTGGCCTTCGCATGCTAATATTTACTCCATTTCATGCCATGATTCTTTCTACTATGGCTGCTAGATTATTATTTCCTACCATATCATATTGCCGACATGCTTGGAGAACTTCATCAGCATCTTGGTTTCAATTCACCATGACTACCCTTCTTCGTGGTTCTTCCCTGGGAATAGCCTGTTGAAATCTGGGTGGTTCTTCCCTTCGAACTGGTTGTTGAATTTCGACTTTTGGGTGTATCACTGGTTATTGAATTTCGACTTCTGGGTGTATCACTGGTTAGGCTTGGTCAATGATTAGTTCTTCTTGAAACATGATGCCTTTATTCTCACTTATCCATGTAGGTTGTGGTTGTCGAGTTGGTTCTCTGGGTGCACCAAAGAAATATGCAAGACGCCCAATTTGTGCTGCCATTTGTTGGTTTGCTTGGGCATTCTGCAAGTTCTTCTGTGTGGTGCTTTGAATTAAAGGGTTAAAAATTGTACTCATTTGCTGGGCGAGTACTCCCATCATTTCATGGTTACTATCATTCATATGTTGTCTCAAGACTGCCTGCGTATTTGTGGTAATAGGAGGCAATTGAGCAACATATCCTGGCTATGAATTATTTCGTGCCATATGGTTTACCCTTGAACCTGATCCTTGTAATGGCGAAAAGGAAGATGTTAAAGGATGTGTATATGTCAAAGTGTTATTTTGAAGTCCTTCCATGAACGAAGTTGGCATGCCATATATTGGATCTGATGTTGGGATTGTGAACCATGGTGCATATGTTCAAGAGACACTGCCTACTGAAGGTATGGGGGTTACGGGTGGAATTTGATTGGCCACAGAAATTATAATAGGTTCATTTTGTGTGTTTGATAATATGGCTGAAGCATTTGTATTTGGGGGTATGACTGTAGCATTTGTAGTCGAGGGGATAATCGCAGTCCCTTGACTTGTTGTCGTGGCTTCAGTTGTATTCGAAGCGCTCGTATTCCCTCCTGTGGGAGATGGAACTTGTTGTGCATCACTAACGGATGAGTTATACATTTTCCTATTGTATTTCCTTTTTGGTCTGGGATCTGTGGTATTGGCTAATTTTCTACTTCTTAATCTCATGCAACAAAACAAGTTAGGAAACACAGATTATCGGAAAAAAACTAAATACTAGACACGGAGTTCCACTGGGCGTGTCAATTTTTTTACCCTAGAATTTGGTAAACAATCGTTGATCCTCTAAATCCTTTAACAAATTCAGTTACTCACGAGATCGATCAGATTGATCTCAGGACTATTGTGTTCAATTATTTAGAAATCATGTTTTGATGATAATCTCTTTAAACAAAAGGAATCACTTCGCACGTTGAAGTGAAACTTCTTTATAAAAGTAATGAAATATATACTAGTTTAGACTGTGAATTGTAAAAAATGTAAATAACGTAAAAAAACTTTATTGAATGTAAATGACATTGAATATAAAATATGGTGCATCATACGTACATTCTCGTTAACTCTTTTCTCGAACACTGGTACTTTGAGTATTTTGTACGAAGATGTGAATACACTAAATCGAAACACAAAAGCTACAATTCATAGAACTTCGATCCTAACGATCTCCTAACAAACTAATGCCACGTCTCCGCTGGCATGTCTTCGACAATCCAAGAGATTATACGCGTCCTTCTGGATAAGAATGAATATTCAAATTCAAACCCTTCGCTATCTGTCTTGAGCGCCAAAACCAATAAAATTTGATAACGGTCGAAGTATAAAGTCTTAAACCATGTTTTGAATAATAACTTTATTTCGCAATTCGAACTATAAACTATTCATCAATCTCTTAACGAATTTCGAATTTGAATCTTCATGGCTTTTAATAAACAAAATAGCCAAACAATTCTCTAAGTATATTCAAACCATTGACTCAGTTCATTTCTCCTTAGTCGAAATTTCTAGCCAACAAATGGGCATAAGATTTGATCACGTCTTGATTTGTAGAAGATTTTATTTTGATTTGTTTTTAAAAAACCACCAATAAAGAGATTTGATTTGTTAATTCAAATTTAAATCTTCAGATAATTAGATTTGATCTTATTTAATCTGCCAAATAAATCTAATTAAAACATAGCTAAAAGATAACAAAAAATCTGATTGAACCACAACCAAAATTTTCGCTCAAAACAATATCAACTATATATGACCTGCTGACAAATGGTAGATATTGCACACATGTTAGAATATATTATGTCCCACACGTATCATTTCTTCACTAAAACATCTTATATATTCCATGTTGTTTTGCATAATAAAAGAATAAATACTATGATTTGATAAAGAATTTGGTACATTTCCCAAATATGCATCACCTTTTTTAGCACTTCCTTTTTTATATCTTGCAAATAAAAAAAACACATTTCCCATAACTTATCCTTTCATATGGTGGCGTTTAGCTAATACCCGTTAGTGTTTGTCCATTATAGAGAAGTTGTCTTTTTTTATCATATATTCAATAATATAAATATTCAAGACTAAATATCTTTTTTCATTTAGGTTCCAATTTGATCCCTTCATTTCTAAAATGACCATTTTGATCATTTAACTATGTAAATTAAATCACGTTAGTCATTTACGTCTAAGCTTCAATAACAACGTCAATTTTTGTGACGGAAAAGTCTATCACTAAAATAGCAATTATGAATTTTTGAAACATTGTTCATCTTCTTGGTTAAAATCAAGAACACTAAAATACAAAATAATGGACAGTCATATTCCTTACTTTGTTTTGTTCATCACTCTATTCATCTATTGTTGAATCATAACAAGAATCATTGTCCTTTTCATTATGAATGTGTTTGTTTAAGATTTACTATCGATCATCGTCTTCTTAATAAATGTTACCAGAATAATTAATCCAATTAATTGTACAGTTGGTTGGTTAGAATTTTATCGATTTCATATTACACAATAATCAATTCTTTCAATCATCTTCATCTTCCACAATTCTTTAGTTTATATAATATTTAATACAAGATTGATAAAATTTGATTAACTTTTCATGGTCTCAATAAAAACAAGATTGACAAAGCAAAGCAAGACAAGGGAGGGAGGGAGAGAGACATATCATTTTGTATCATAACTTTATCTTCATCCTTTCTTCTTCCTCCAACCTTCCAAATTTCAATACTTTCATCCCTTCTTCCTGTTCTAACGCAAGAGAGCAAGGCAAGTTCAACATTAACGAGAGGTTGTTTCATCAAAACGCATGCAGATGTGAGTTTTCTTTCTTTTTAGTTTTATTTGTTTTCCTTTCCTTTCTCATGAATAATAAAAGATGATATCGATAAATCTATTATGTTTATTATACATGGTCTATACATAATTATTTTAACTTCAAATAAACTCTTACTATTAAACAAGCCGAATTTACGAGTAGATTCTAACTAAAGAAAACAAGTTGAGGTAAAAGTAAATCCTAAGACAGACAACTTTAGTTACAAAGATTTAAAACCAAAACAAAATATTTTAATCAACTAAAACTAAGTATTCTATTTTTTGAACAACAAAATATATAATTAAGGTTAGGAAAAAATAATAACATAAAATAGGATTATTATCAAGCCACTTAAAAATAAAATGTCAAAATTTACATCAATATGAATTGATCACTTCTCAATATTCCCCCCTATATTGGTCAAATATGTTAAACACGCTACATAACTACATAAGTGTGCTTCTTGTAACATGCTGGGGGAGGTTGGGAAATTATCATTCAATTTATGGATTCAGAAATTGCCCATAATCATCTATAACATGAAATGTAGCAATTTCATACTATGTAACCTAGTAAATATGAAAATTATATGTACAAATATTGGCTTTTGCATCTCCTGAAAAGCATTAATTTAGAGCTTTGGGGTTGGGATTGTCTCTTGTGGTGTTGTTGGAATTGGCTGCTGAGGTGTTATTGGGATTGGCTGCTCTGGAGTTGTCTGCTGAGGTGTTGTTGGGATTGGCTGCTCTGGAATTGTTTGTTGTGGTGTTACTGGGATTGGCTCTGGAGTTGTCTGCTGAGGTGTTGTTGGGATTGGTTGCTCTGGGATTGACTGTTGTGGTGTTGGAATTGACTGCTCTGGAGTTGTCGGCTCTGGTGTTGTTGGGATTGGCTGCTCCGGAGTTGTCTGCTGAGGTATTGTTGGGATTGGTTGCTCTGGGGTTGTCTGCTCTGGTGTTGTTGAGATTGGCTGCTCTGGAGTTGTCTGCTGTGGTGTTGTTGGGATTGGCTGCTCTGGGATTGTCTGTTCTGGTGTTGTTGGGATTGGCTGCTCTGGAGTTGTCTGCTGTGGTGTTGTTGGAATTGGCTGCTCTGGTGTTGTTGGGATTGGCTGCTCTGGAGTTGTCTGCGGTGGTGTTGCTGGAATTGGCTGCTCTGGGGTTGTCTGTTGTGGTGTTGTTGGGATTGTCTGCGCTGGGTTTGGCTGTTTTGGGGTTGGCTGCTTTGGGGGTGGCATGTCGCCAGAACTGTAAGGAATTCTAGTATTCTTAATCCAATCATCTCCCTGAAAGAACAAAGATGGATTGAAAGTATTTGCAGTTTCTGGTGTAAGATTCTTAATCCCAGGCCATTTTACACGCTTTGATTTATCAGAACCAGGACCAGTATTATTAACCTCGGCATAATAACAAGTGTCCATGCCACTAAGTTGTTTATCCGGTTCTTCCCATGGCATAAACCCCTCAGGCTGAATCACCCCGTCGATGTAAGTATCCATGATAATAGTCCTCGCATAGTGCTTCCATGGACGACCGATAAAAGCTTTGTAGGTGACTGGAACATTCGGAGGATCAGAAACAATGCGGCTACTTTGAATTACTATTCCTGATGGTTGGTTTTCTTCTGCCCTGGCTTGTGCAACTATAATGCATTGTTGGTAATCTAATGGTTTTCTAACGATGAATGTGCAGTTCTGGAAAACGGCTTGTGCGTTGCCAAACACATAATCAATCGTGCCTGAAATTGTACAATCACGATAAAATTGACGCATAGTGTGTGCATATAATGTGTCTTGATATCCGTGTATTGAACACTGGTAAAAAATTGCCTTGTCGCCTTGGACTCTTAAGGCGCAAGCTTGATCTTTTAGTGGTCCTGCTGAATTCTCAATTCCTATACTCATTGCAACAAAAAAATCTCCTCCAACAGCTGCAATAGACATGCATAACCATCAATATATTACTAGTTTTTTTTCATAATATTAAAATGCACCCATAAACACACCCTTTTTCATACTTGTGTTAGACAATTGATTAACCAAGTGTAAGACTATGATTAATTCTATTGAATAGATAGTTAGTTCAATTCACTTTGTAAAATTTGAATGAAGTAACTATCTATTCAAATGAATCGACCGAATGTCATACAAGTGTACGGAAAAAAAGTGTATGTGAAACATTTTTCAAGAATAAAAGATTTACGTACCGAGAGTGGGGGTTGCATAAGTTGCAATTCCATCTTTCATGTTTTTGTTGCCAGTAAGTATTGTTTTCATATCACCATCACCAACAAGCACAACATTAGTCATTAGTATGGTAATGTCAACATACTCATGATAAATACCTTTCTTGATATAAATAACAAAAGGTTTTTGGCCATTTATTGGCACTAGCTTCAAAGCTTCATTGATAGTCTTAAACTGTCCACTACCATCTTGAGCCACAACGACATTAGCCTTAAGTTTATTTTGAGCCACTTGAAGGAGTCTACGAACACCGGCACTCGAACCATCACCAAACCAAGAAGGAACCTCGTTAACATCATCATGAGCAACAACTTGTTCGCCAACATAACCTTTATAATCTTCCATAAGACGACGTTCATCTTTTGTTACATTAATTTCCTTCACAGCATTTTGCAAATCCGTAACGACATCAAGTGCATTACTACTCATACGCCTCGAAAGTTGTAAAATGCCTTTCATCTTCATACCTGCTTTACTAGTGATGTTCGAAAAACCATCTAAACATGTTTCTTGATACGTCATTGCACCACTTAACCAAACTCTTAAACTCACGAGAATGCTGTCTAGATTGTTGAGATTAAAACTTGTTATTCCCTCAAGTGACCTTTGGAATTCGCCGATAGAGAGATCCATTAACTTCAAGCATGTTTGAAGTGCCATTTTCGTCTTAGGTTCCTTCTCAACCTCTTGCAAGAGCTGAGTTTTCTCAATTCCCTTTTTGATCTTCGCAACGGTGATATTGAAAGCAAATTTCATGAGTTCTCTCGAGTCCGTTGTGCTGCCTACTTCTGACAATAGATTTTCCTCGCATTCTTTTTTAAAACTTGTTGGACTACAAAAGGTTTTCACGGCTTTCTGGGTTGAATTTATGCGACCTTTACCGTTGCCATCTTCGGTATTATTCACGCCAACTGTCACAGCAACCACCATAGCCACTAGTAAAAAGCTCGAGGTGCATATTATGACGATTCTCTTCTTTCTTTTATTATCTTCCTCACTCATCTTGATTTATAGCAGCGCACAATTTATTGTCCGTGTGCTTTCTATTTCTGTATAATCTTGATTATATAGATTTCTAGCTAACTCTGAGTCTTCACTTTAATTATGAATTTGGATTGTCCGAGTTTGTACTCTATAGAGGGAAATGGTTTTGTTGATGAGGCAATGACAATCTTTGTCAAACCTTGAAGGAATGTGCAATTCTGATTGGTGTCCAAAGTAGAATTATGGTTGAGTGAAGATTAATTAAAGAATGGTTTAGAAATTGTTATGGTGAATGTGAGGTTTAGATGCAATAGCTAGGTGAACTATGTTTTCTATAAATAAGGATTCGCAGAAGCCACATAATTTATGGAACTTTCAAGGTTTGTGTTTTTAGATTAAGCTAATTTTAAGGTGGAATTAGTGAACAGGGTCTTTCATTTTGCGACATTAATTCATGTTTGTGTATGAGCGCAGATCTTCTCTATTTTTTGAAAGTTGAACACTTTTATTAGAAATTTTTACAAAACTCAATTAGTGTTACTAATTTTAGAAATATATCTTTACTTTTTATTTTCATGAAAAGACGCATTTACATTTTCTATTTACCATATAGCAATTGATGACCATTTCTTTTAGAAATTGAAGACTATATATACTTCATTTTACATTTTACATGGATATTTTTCTTTCTATATCAAAAGGTTAATATTGAAGTAAACTAAGTACTTTTTATTTTGTAGATTGCAAAATTAATCATCTTAAAAATTATGTTTATAGTTCTAAAAAATACAATATTATTATGCATAAATTTTTTGATTATTTGTAAAAGATCAATTGTCTTTAGTGGTAGGAAGCAAAAAGTGTCACATACGAATAATATAAAAGCATGTTAATTGTTATAATACGTTTTTTCATATTTTACCAATTTACTTGACCTGACTTTGAGGGCAATTGTTTATCCCACAATAAAATGTCTCATCCTTAATCCCACAAGTGAGGAAATCTCAATCAAGTACACACATGTTACTCACGCGTACACCACAACATTTGTTAGCCTAAGTATTGATATTCCCTCCTATGAGCAAAACACGTTGCGTTTAAGAGGGACGATGTTCATGCTAATAAAATTGCTAAGGTTAAAATTTAGAATCATATCACTAAGACCATCTAAAACTCTATCAAAATCAGAGTCTCTACAATATATCTCACTGTCTTTCAATATATGATATTTAAACACCCAAGATTTGGCCCAGAAAGCCACAAAGTGTATAAGACAGCCTCTACTGCCGAGTACAAACTCAATCCCCCAAGTCTAATAGGTAAAGAGACCACCTTCCATTGAAGATCCTGAAGAAAGAACCTCTATCAGCTATAATTTTTGATCAACCTCCCTTTGCAACTCTGTTTTCAAACCAAATAGTCGTGTCCTCCATGTGAGTCAGTTGACATATTCTTAGACCAAAAAATAATTTTGTGATACCTATGGAGAATCAAAGTAAGAGAATCTAACTTTGTGGATCCCATAACTATAGGAGAAGATTCATTAACTGAACAACCCTGACAACTCTCTTCATGAACAACCCTGGGATAAAACATTTATCTCGACTAACGGCCTCTCCAAGCAATTCCATCCCCAACACTGACCTCCCGTTGTCTGAAGGGAACAAGTCCCCACAAAATCTACTATCATCGAAGGTCAAAAAAACTAAGTCTTATGAATATTCAATTCAAGGCTCAATCTTGGACCATCTCCCGAATGATATAAAAGGCTTCAGCCACCTCCTTTAAATCTCCTACAATTGTTTCATCATCAAGATAACATGCATGAAGAAGAAACTTGCAATTATGTCTGATCTTATGAGTAATAGGGTGTAAGGCAAGAGAAAAAAGGAGTGGTCCTAACATGTCGCTTGTTGCACTCTAGTGGTTGGCATAATATGTCTTTTCCTAAGGTACAACCTCACTAGCTAGCCATAAAGAAGCTCAACCCACAAGGAAATAGATGAGCATCTCATCCCACCCAACACAGTAGTGTCAATCGGTCTATCATGTTGAAGGAATTCACGAAATCGACCGAGATCGTAGTAAAAAAAACATCTTCATATCGCTTGTTCAACACAAAATGGCCACAAATACGTCGAACCCAAATTGAAATTCATTGAGATATTGTGCATATTTTTACCAACTCATTTGATAGCAACATTGGATATCAGATGCCTCTAAATATAATTTACCGCAATAGGGTGTATCCCATCATGAGACTTTAATAACGACGCAAGAGTGTGAAAGCTACAAAATATGTCAAACTCATTTGACATCTTCTTCCTGGTCATTTAACAACAAGAGTTAGTGCACATAAAAGATCTCCTACCACAATCGAACGTTCTCTACACATTATGTCTAATAAGTGTCAGACGCATAAACCATATTTACCACATGTTGTCCCTTTAGAAAACAATTTAATGCACCTGAGAATAATCAACTTCAACCAGAAAAAGGAGTTTCAGAAACAAGGTGGCCGGTACGGAGAGAGGTGATTTGTACATGTGTTTAGCCTCCAAAACCTTCATTGTATTTAAATTATAGGGGGTTACTCAGAATGATCCCAACACTCTCACAACAGTGTTAAGTGGTCATCTGCTACCTTGCGTAACCATTGTTACTCATCTTTTTATCTTTCTCCTTAATATGAACTCCCCCATAATTTAAACCATTTTGTTCAGAATTGTTCAACACACTATCAACTACTTTGGCACCATTTACATCGCTCCAAATCGCCAAACACATCTAAATAGGTGATTTTGCAAGGGCTTCCATTCCTTAACATACAATCCAATTTATGAGACTTGGCCAATTTTAAAAAGAAATTCAAAAGTATTAATTTATCGTTATGCCTAAATTCCAGAAACAAATTAAGTTGGAAAGAAAATAAGAACAAGATCCCTCTTAAACTTCTTGAAAAATATTATACTATCATCTTTACAACTTTTGTGATAATGGGACTTTTTGACTTAATACATTGCATCTTAAGTTTATAAGCTTAATTGCACAAATCTTTAACAACGAAAAAGAAAGAGAGGTTTTATTTGCACACTCAGTTTATAAGCTTTTGTTTTATTGAAAACGCTCATTTTAACATTCAATATAGTGTGAGACTTTCAAGTTATACTTGGCACACCATATTAACATCACAATCAACACTCTTTTCATGAGGAAGATAACTTAGATAACTGGAGCAAAAAGTTGGTTTGCAGTTAAGTCAGATTAAAAGCACAAACTCAAAAGAGTAGTCACAAAATTAAATAAAACAATAAAAAATCAAATTGATAACGAATATGGTCATCAATAAATCACAGGATTACAACATAAAAGAGAGAGATACAAAGAGAGCACCAAGAAACCAATCTAACGATGAAGAGAAGATTGGAAGTGGTGGTGGGCTTCACGCGCAGAGTAAAGAGATTTGAGAGTGTCTTTGTGAATGAGAACCATTTTCTTGATTTCTCTCTTTGGATTTCTCCGATTTTGTTTTTGAATGTTTGGGGGTTTAAGAGTCATTGATGAGCAAATGTGTAACACCCCACACATACATTGCCTAGGATATATGTATATGGTATTAGAATGGTACATAAACATCCATACATAAGCAGCGGGAATAGAAATATATATTAGTACAGATTACAACTTGCCGAAACGGTCAAGGCCAAAACAATACAATCCCAAAAGTAATAATACATGTCCAGAATACATAGAATATAGATCCAAAAAGAAACTGAACATCGCCATGAAACACCATCGCAAGACTAAGCCATCTTACCCTTTCCACGATCCTGCCTCGAACAACCTGAAAAATAGTAATTGGAATGGGGTGAGATTAATAAATCTTAGTGAGTCTCCCTATCTTAGGAGTTCTCTCAGTTCTACAGGATACATGCATCAAACAGATCCACCGAGAATCAGGGTTTTCTTTTCTCACCGCTTGGTACAATTACACAAATGGGAACATCTCCATTGGAAGTCCCTTGACTTTCCAATAAGAATAATAAACATATAGATAAATACAAACAAGTATGCAAACATGTACCCATGTACGAGAAATTCAGGAGTCTATCATTGCCCCTACTCAGGCTACACTATCACATCCTCGATGAATTACACCCATGCATCGCATCAATAGACTTGCATTGGTCACAACACGATGATTCAAATCTTTCCTAAGTGGAATTTCATCCGTGACAAGTTTCACTGTAACACTTTCGATGAGGCGTCACCACTCGTCCATCATCCAAATGCATGTGATTAACTACCAGTGTAAAAATGCCATCTTGAGAACACGAGCCCACCGGGCGAAAGCCTAATACTTTTGCCTACGTGACACCATTAGAGGTGATCTAGAACTCCACAAAGTGAAATTACCTATGTGGCATCACAATCCCACCATACCAAGCACGTGATGCAATTAACTGCTGGTGGAACGCTGCACAAGGACCCACACAAGCATATCACAATGCTAGCTAAGGTGCTTATGACATACCGAGCACGCAAATATGATCGCATCAAGTGTGGAAACGCCCAGCCATTTAGGCCCATAGCTGCATATCGCAACGGTATAAATGATACACATGGTCTAAGTCATAAGTGATTTACGTCCTAGTTGTTAGGCCTACTCCGATTCAAGCATACATCAAAACATGATATGTGTCAAGCCATAAGGCACACATCAATCCATACAAACATAACACCAAACGTTCAACCATAACGACGAGCAATCACAATTATTCCATACAATACTACATATCACATAATACATACAACAATCCATCCGAATGTTCAATCCGGAACAAACGGGAACATACGCTAAATCATGTCATAGCATTTATCATATAATGTGATTTCAATATAATCATATATATTCATGTCATAACGAATAAATAATCACATAAAGTATACACGCATTACACCACACATTTCCAAACGAATCACTAAGATCAAAGAGGCTTCTGATACTCACCATGGTA